GGTGCAGTGGGTGAGCTTTGCCGACAGCGACATCGTTCCCCCAGCCAGCACTTGGGTGTTTCCCACCTTGGGCATCATGCACCACAACAAGCAGGTGAGCCTTGACACTCAGGAGCTCTGGGGAGATGACAGGGGCTCCTGAGTGTCAGAGTAAGAATGGAAAAGGGGATGCCCTGAAAATGAGAAAGTTTAATCTTTTTTTTTTTTTTAATTTTGTGTGCATGTACCGTCAAATCAGATCTGACTGGTACAGGAGGATATTGCGCCTCCTTCTCCGGCAGAGCGTCTGGTGGATTCAAACCGTGTTCCTCTAGGATTGCAGTGCAGCTTCTTGCCACTAGGCCACCAGAGCTCCCCGAGAAAGTTTAATCTTTTGCCTTGTAGATTTGGCTCAGTGGCTAGACAGATCCGAGGGAGGGCATGTCAGCAGTGTCAGTCATGAGAATTCTGCTGTGGGGAGGTAAACTGAAGGTGACCTCTTTCAAATTCTGAGGTTTGTACTGTGATCAATACACAGTGGGGAATTAGGCCAGCCTGCACCAGGGAGAAATGTGACACCGGCCTCACTGGTGATAAGATAGCTTTGGATCTCACTGTAGATGAGCAAACGAAATAGCATCTTTAATGTGTGTGGGACGGGATTGAGACCCTCTGTCCTTTAAATTCAACAGGCTACAGAGAATGCTAAGGAGGAGGTGAGGCGAATTCTGGGCCTCCTGGACCTTCACTTGAAGACAAGGACTTTCCTGGTGGGTGAACGTGTCACCTTGGCTGACATCACGGTTGTCTGTACCCTGTTGTGGCTCTACAAACAGGTAAGTAATAAAAATGCAGTTGGTACGGGAGGTTACCCTGGGTTCTTTCTTGGTCATGGATGTAGTGGTGTCTGAGGACTCTTAGCTTCATCTGTAGGACAGTTGGAGCCTGGGGTTTAGGATTGGGGAGGACTGTTGTCCTTGCTTGGCTGAGATGATGTTTAGTTTGTTACCATGTTGCTTGTGAAGCCCAGAGGTGCTTAGGTAGGTGACCTGTGGGTGTGAGAGCTGAAAGGTCCACACTCACCAAGTCCAGAAGCAGCGCAGAGTGTTTAGTAGCTATGCTTTGTGTAAAATGTGTGCTTTGATGAAAGTGAGAGTTGAGGCTCAATTGGAGGCAGCCCCAACAAAAAAAAAAGGAGCGTTCATTCTCCATTGGGCTCTTGGGCAAAGTCACAGCTGTTGGAAAAGGCCTGGGATAATTTTCAGCACTCCCTGTTTTTTCTCCGGGGGAGTGATCATAATACTGGGGTAAACAAATTATTTACTGTTTTCTGGAATGCAGGAAGTGATAGAGGTGGGGTCAGAAAGTCCGCAAAATGAAATCCCTTTGGTCTCAACCTTTTAGTAGCTTCAAGGTGAAGATCTTTGGGGTTTTAAGTTTTAGTTTTTGTCATTTATTAGTTGTAGAGTGTGTGTATTCCCTTTAATGCCTGTTTTTCAAATATAAAATCAGTAATAATCATTGCTCTAGAGTACGTTAAATCTCTTGACGGACTGGATCAAAGTAATACAGGAATAGCTGTATGTATGTAAAGTTCAGTTGGACTTGACAAAATACTGGTGATCTTTTGTGGTTTAATCATGTCAAAGGTTGTGGTGACCCTCAAATCTCTTGACACCACTTCCGCAATAGTATATGATCACTTTGTCATATTTTAATAACTGCTTTGCGTGAAAGCATTATCTGCTAAGCCTGACGGAAATATACATTGAGCTGCTGGTATAAAAAGTCTGTAGGTGGACTTGGGAAGAACCTTCTCCATTGCCCTAGGAAAGTTCCTTATTATTCACATGTGGATGGTTGGTCTTGCTGTGTGCCATAGCGCACCCTCCCATCTTTCTCTGCAGCTACTGGTGGTTTTGAACCCCAAGCCTTTGGGCTAACAGCCCAGCTCCTTACCCACTACCCCCCAGACCTCTAGTTAAGGCTGCTTCAGTGTACACACAAGGGATAGCTTAAAGTGCCACACCCACCTGGACTAGAGAAGGTCACTGTCTTCTGTCTCACCTACCCAGTTAGCCAAAGACTCTCTGAAGAAGCATTCTTCTGCCTTTATTGTCTGTTTGTGGTCTATATTACCTTACAGGAGTTAGATCAAAGAAAACCTGTAGCAAGATAGCTGGGACTCTCTTCTTTAGCTTGTCTAGGGAAGGCAACCTTTATCTAACCGCCCATCTTTAGTTTACTAAAGGAGGGCAACTCTTATCCAAACGTGTAGAAGTACTTAGAGTAGATCTGGCTGAAACTTGCTGTGTCCTGCTACATTTGTGGGGTCAAGCCCATTGTTGTAAACATGCCCAGTATATGAGGCTCAGTTTAACTTTGAGTTTGCACTTCTATCCAAAACAGTCCTCTTTGTTCAGAACTCAACACCATAATTCAGAGGCACCAATTCTTCTGTCATCCTTTTATCGGCCAACTTTTAGGTGCATAGGAAGCAATTAAAAATAGCATGATTCTCGTTGCGCAGCAGTGCGAGCGCCTTACTGTTCTTGTCATATCCAGCGGCGTTCCCTTATGCGGAACCTTATCGAAAAGCTGGTCAGTGAGCTTCCTAGGAACTTGAAACAGTCATCGCTTTTGCGGTACATACCCCCGGGGGGAAATGGTTGAAGCTGATAGCCCAGGAAAGCTCTTCATTGGAGGGCTCAATACAGAAACAAATGAGAAAGCACTGGAGGCTGTATTTGGCAAATATGGACGAATTGTAGAAGTGCTCTTGATGAAAGACCGAGAAACTAACAAATCAAGAGGATTTGCTTTTGTCACCTTTGAAAGCCCAGCAGATGCCAAAGATGCAGCCAGAGATATGAATGGAAAGTCTTTGGATGGAAAGGCTATCAAAGTGGAACAAGCCACCAAGCCAACATTTGAAAGTGGTAGGCGTGGACCCCCTCCACCTCCAAGAAGCAGAGGTCCTCCAAGAGGTCTTCGAGGTGGAAGAGGAGGAAGTGGAGGAACCAGGGGACCCCCTTCACGTGGGGGGTCACATGGATGATGGTGGCTATTCTATGAACTTTAACATGAGTTCTTCCCGGGGACCGCTGCCAGTGAAAAGGGGACCACCGCCACGAAGTGGAGGGCCGCCTCCTAAAAGATCAGCCCCTTCAGGACCAGTTCGAAGCAGCAGTGGAACGGGTGGAAGAGCACCTGTATCACGTGGAAGAGACAGTTACGGAGGTCCACCAAGAAGGCAAACATTACCTTCACGTAGAGATGTTTATTTGTCCCCAAGAGATGATGGATTTTCTACTAAAGATAGTTATTCAAGCAGAGATTACAGAGATTACCCAAGTTCTAGGGATACAAGAGATTATGCACCACCACCAAGAGATTATACATATCGTGATTGTGGTCACTCCAGTTCACGCGATGACTATCCCTCTAGAGGCTATAGTGATAGAGATGGCTGTGGTCGTGATCGCGATTATTCAGATCCCCCAAGTGGAGGCTCCTACAGAGATTCCTATGAGAGTTGTGGGAAGCAGTCGCTATGGTGTTTACAGCAGCTCACGAGACGGATATGGTGGAAGTCGAGACAGTTACTCAAGC